TTTCGTGCATATAGGAAGAAACGTTTTATGGAAATGGCTTGCTACGTTTTCTCGAGAGATGTCGTCAACATTCATGAATTCTAAAAGTGTTGTTCGAACAACATATGCACGAAATCTCATTATTCAAATATACATATATCGAGGGAGAGGATATATCAGAAATGGTAAACCCTATTAAATATAACTGTAATGTATGTATGTGATTCACCAGCAAGGCAAAGGTGTTCCACATCGGCGATAAAAGTTATGTAAAGCTCCTCATCCAACACCACTCGCCTTTTCTTTGGGGTGGAAGCACAATCACAATCATGGTCATGATCCTCCTCAATTCCTCCTTTTTTCTTGTTAGGTTTCTCTTGGTGGAATCTCGCACAGATGATCACTCATCCGGCGGCTGTTGCCGCCTTCCCATCTATCTCTCCTGCAGCTACACTCTTCCTTCCTTGCATATTTTTTTTTATTTTTTTACCATAATTTGTATATCCAAACTTTAAAACGTAGACAAGCCACATAATAACAATCAAACACAAAAGAAACCTAAGTTCTTACATTTTTTCAAAGGTCATGATCATATATTACGTGTATGTGGTTTCGTTGGTGTCTTTGGCTTAACTGAACTATTTGCTTCTAAAGCAAATAACAACATTCTTTTCAAGGTTGCTATTTTCATATCTGCAAGATAAATATAACTGGATTAGCAAAAGATAAATAGAATTGATTAAAAAACTAATCAAAAGATGAAACATCATTAGCAAACAAACAAACAAACACTAAGCTTCTAATGTTATAGAGAAAATCATTTAAAAATGGATGTAATCTCTTACCTTTGTCCATGAATAAGATGTTACCTCCATAGGTGGCACTTCCTCGTTATAACCATTCCATATAAAAGCTAAAAACCTTGAAGACACACAAAATAATAAAAAATTGAATAATTTGTCTTAATCTTCCAAATGTAAATTCAAAATGCGATCAATCAAGAAATATTGACATTTAAATTGTTCCAGATGCTAAATGTA